AATCGATATACAGGGTAAAGCGAAAAACACGGATTCATTTTTGATGAGTCAGGCCCTTAGATATTCATGGCGGGTCCCGATTGAGAAATAATTCTCTAGGGGTGAAAACTGGGCCCACCGCTACTGGGCCGTTGATTTTATGAATGCGTCGGCCTTTTTTGAATAGTCACTTTGTTAAATATATAAATAGTGCGTTGAACATAAACTAAGAAATGTAGATAGTCCATTGGTCTATGGAGCTGGAGCTAAAGTAGAATGGTTCTGAGTTTTATCTGTTGGCGTGAATTTTCTAGTCCTTATCGGGATTTGCAATCTTATTAGGGAAACTGGCTTAGGGGCCTTCTGTTTAAAGTTTAAATCATTGTTGGAAACCATTGAAACTTCCATTATCAGTTACTCAATAAAGTTCTAGATTAATACTCTTTAAATAATCACTAACGGATAAGGTATCTTCAAGTCGAGGATACAATGAATCTGATTCTATCTACTGAGAAAAAAAAAACAAAACAAATGAATTCCGAATATGCCAAAATTTACCGTAGGTACAACGGTCTTAGCTGTTGAACCCAGTTGCGTATTTTCTAGTATGTAGGTGAAGGGGAAGTCTGCAAAAGGTATTGCTAATATTTTGTCTCGAATATAAAAATGTGAGGTGTTTAGTTAGGGCATGAAATTTTGCATGAGCAACCAAGCGTTTTAGAGAATTAAACAACATAATTGTTTTATTTATTGAGGCATTTTGTTCATCTCGACGTCTTTAATGCGACCAGTTGTCTTCTATCAGAATATGCTAAAACAATTACTGAACTCCTAACATAATTTCATAAAGTCCCGAATCTGGAGTGAACTTTGGAAATTATCGCTTAAGTTTCCTTTGGTAACTTTATAAAGCGAATTAAGTGTAGGGACTTTTGAAAAATGTCCCTCTAACTTAGCCAGTAGGACGTTTGTTATCTCGTTTATGTAATCTATGCTTGTTAAATCGTGAATGAACAGTGGCCTAGGATAAAGTGCCTTTTTTTACGAGTTTTTTTTTTATTGTAATTGTACTTTTTACAATTATTTACTGCTGATATACTGAACAATACGAAGCTGATAAAGAAAACTCTAAAACAGCAAAAGTAAAAAAAGACATGGTACAGGGTTGAAAAGCTGTCGGAATGAGTAACAAGGTCGCAAGACTTAATCTTATCGGATCCTTTAAAGATATCCGAAACCTCAGAAATAATTGAATGAATCTTGCTTACTCCCATTCAAACAATGTTTTCCTTAATGTATTCATAATAATGATTATGGCCGTTTGTCCACCGCCCCCGTCACTGGGACATAACAAATAATGACGGTAACGAGAATAAGATGACGGTCCGAAGTAACGTCACATAGATTTACTATAGCCGCTTGGTCACTACAAGACCGCCTCGTCATATTGATCTCATAGCGAAATAATCTCGTTCTAGGTGAGGACTAGGAGCTCGATAGCGCAAGTGGTTAGCGCGTTCGGCTGCGATCGTTGAACTTAAGCAACTTTGCCGGCTTCATCTGCATCTGCTGGTTGTGGGTCATGGCCCAATCTCCCTATTCCATCCATAGGGAAGGCCTGTGCCCCAGCAGTGGGGACATTAATAGGCTGATGATGATCATGATGATGATGAGGTGAGAACTCTCAGGAGGAGTAAAAAAACGAACGGGGGGGGGGGGGTCCGGAGACGGCCACGGTGGAGAAACGGTTTATCTCATGTCGTTTTAAAACTTATTCAAATGTGTCAGCTGTAAACAGCCTACAAAAATCGTCAATGGTCTTACATCAATGGTCTTTTACCACTTTGCTTAAGTGAAAGCAGAATTTGAGTTTGAAGATTCGATCAACATTGAACATAATATATGATACTTTGAAATGGTTCAAATCTGTTCTCCTTTAAAGAGAACAGACACCGCCATAATTGAACAAATTAAAAATAAAGCATGTTAAAACGGTGCCGTTCCAAATTACAAATACGTTTAATGTTACATGCATACAAGCCCATTCCAATCACACGAGAGGGAATTTAATAGGTTTTTCCGAGCGTGTGCTCACAGGGGGTAATATATCTATGCTCCTATGCAAACACTTGTAAGGCAAATTTAACTTGACACGTAAAATTAGGATATTCGACCTTATCTCTTTTGTATTAATGTTTCTCGAGGCGGCACATGCGTAATATCCTTATTACGTGCCCTCATGGGAACTTACAAATTGTCGTAATATCTTCCTGACAGATGTAATCGTGGAATTCACAGCCGTAAGCTCCTCGAAGAGTGTTTATATGATCTTATTGTCTCGATAGATATTATTCAACCACCGTTGTGTGGTTATCAAACACAAATAACCGATATTATAACCTCATAGCGCTTATGCTCGCTACGATATTGTGTTATCGAGAGTGCGTATTAATTGTATAGTAACTTCGATATTACGATGTAGCCGTGCGGTTTCTTTTGTTTGTAACTGTTCCGCTGATTAAACAACAAGTCGATATGAAACTGGGTTATTTTGTTTATGAGAAAAAGGATGTGAAGGCATTTTTTTGCGTTTTAAAAATGGCAAGTATTAACTAAGTTCATACTTAGGTGAACAAGAAAAAGGTTAGAAATGTAGAGTGTGAAGAAAAATCTTAAATACTTAGGCGAGCTTCATAATCCATTTACAAGTAAATGGTTTATAAAGGGATCAGAAACATAACAGCAAAAGGTAATCTAAATTCACTGAAGTCTTCTTTAAGGTGGAGCTTAGGTGACTTTCCACAAAAGGGCACTCCAATTTGAGCTAAATACCCGCAATGACCTACCTCACTTAAAGCTATGACAAGCATATATTTAATAGCCTGGGTAGACGAGGGATGTTTGTTTGCGGACACTTTGATACAACACAGTAGATTGCTTGCAACTGCATCGAGTAATGCACACATGCAATAGGCTATTAGACAATATGAAAAATATAGTACCAATAGGGTATTTGACAGTATTAAAAATAAAGTGCCGATTGTTAGCATCTGTATTTAGAATGAATATTGGCAGGGGTTTTACTATTTTTACAAAAAAAATATTCATAATTTTACTAAAAACCCACGAAAAAGATAATAGTTTTCTTATCTATTGTCACGTGACCCAAAACGCTTGGGATTGGCGGAGCCTAAAATGTCACACGCAAGTAAACTTCCGGTTAAAGTGACATTACATCGTATCGTTTGACGTTTCAATATCAGTCGTGTGACGTCACACATTAGTAAGACGCCATATTGTTCAGAGAATCGTTTTCGTGGCAACTTGAAAATGGAATTTTTGATTTGGTTATTTTTTACTGAAATACACAACAGAATGATGAATATCCACTTTTTACGGACTCCATAAACATTAGTCAACAACGTCAGATCATTTTCTAAAACTTGTCAAATACTCTATTGCTGGCATCAGTATTTAATATGATATGAATATTAGCAGCGATTTGACTATTCTGAAGGATCATATAATTAATAACCTTTTCATAAAATCATTAAATAGAAATTATATTTTTGCTCCATGGTCACGTGACCGAAAATGCCTGAGATTGGCCAAGAATAAAGTGACGTCACACGCTAGTATACTTCCGGCCAAAGTGGACATTACATTGTATCGTTTGATGTTTTAAAGACAGTCGTGTGACGTCACGCACTAGTGAGACGCCATAATGTCCAGAGAAACGTTTTGAACAACAAACAACTTGAAAATTGTTTTTTAATTTAGTACTTTAGCTGAATTATACAACAGAATTAAAAATATCCACTTTTTATGGACTCTACCAACAATAGTAAATAACGTGAGATAGTTTTCTAAAACTTGTCAAATACCCTATTAAAAGAATCGGGTACAAAAGTCCCCCGAACAACCGAAGACGCCGAGAGTTCGCTCAGGACAAAAGTACGCGGGTGTCCGTAAAATAGAACTTTATTCTGCGTTCTGCGATGTGAAGAGAATGACCCAGTATTCTCTTCTAAAATGTGTTCTCTTTTTCTTAGGGCGCTTTCAATTTATGCGTTTCTTGACGGCCTGCTGCGGTGCCGAAGCGGTGCGTTTGTCGTACAGCGTACGGACGATCCTTTTTATTCATACAAAACGCGCGGTGCGGCAACAGTGCGGCGCAAGTACCGCGAACACTCGACAACAGGCTGCAGGGACAGGACAGGACGCTTCGGCAACGCAGCAAGCCGTCAAGAAACGCATAAATTGAAAGCGCCCTTAAACTTCATGTTATACATATATTTACAACACAACGTTATTTGAGAATATTCACTTCCATAGCGTGTGATTCTCTCTACATTTTCGGGTTAAAAATGTACGTTGGATCTGTAACAAGTCCTCGAAGGACTTTTTTTTCACGATTCAGGGACTTTCGTCTCCGCGGACTGAAGTCCCTCGTCTGCGCAGGCCAGCAGGATTTTTTTGTTTGTTCTATGTGTGACTGATATATAGCTACGTCTCAATGCCTTCATGTTAGTTGGTGGGATCGAGGGATCATTTCCACAAAGGGATTATGAAAACAATATTTTGTTTTTGTAAAGTTTCACTCGATCGCAACTGGATTATGAGAGACCTCTAACAATAACAAGGGTTTTTTTATATTTTATTCAGAGGATATTTAATGTTACTATATTTTTTATATGCAAAGGAAAGTTTATAAATTAATAAATATTGTTAGTCTCTAGAATTGTATTACGTAGAAAAATAAGAAATACTTTGTGTCCGTCAAAAAACTGTCAGCGAGCTGTCTACAAATTTATGTTTGCTATGAAAAGAATGTATATCTAAAGTGCAATACCTATATAACCTATATTTAAATTATATTTCTTCTGTCGGGTGGGAGCGGAGTTGGGTAAGTGGGCTAAGACCTTAATGGTCCTATTTCCTTATTATAGTTGTAGGGGTCACTTCGAAATGCGTTTTACATGGAGACCCCATTAAATTTAAAAAGAGTTAGGAACATATTTTTCCAATTGTTTCCAAATAAATTTGATTTATTAACCAAATATGTTTAGACTAAATAATTCGCGTGGGTTATCCAAGATCTTAACTTTTAATTTTTTAAGGAACAATTGTTTAATCACTATTTAATTTTATCTAAATTGTGTTATTATTTAATATTCTCTATGAAGACTGATATGAAATCTAACGGGTTGGATGGGCAGTCGTGTTCATATTGATGGCACTGTCTTTCTAACCCATAGTATTCTGCTTCGTAATAAGTGTCTTCAACGCTTTCTTCTGACAGCGAGGTGGAAGGACTGAAAGAGAAAAAAATGATTATTATAAATGAGGAAACTTAGTTTTACTACTAGTGGGTACCCGCGTCTTCGTCTGGGGCTCTCTATTTAGTTTTAGAGAAACGGCATATGAGCAATTCAACGTGGCCATTAAACGCGACCAATAGATGTAGCCAGAATCATCAGCGCTGCAGCAGCCCTGGTGTTGCTGTAGTATCATGCTGAGGCAGGGACCTAGTTGGCCCAAAATTTTTTTTATTGATTTTATTTATGTAAACAATACTGTTTATGGTCAATAAAATTTATTTCTTACTTTCTTTCTTATGTAGCCACCAATCGCAGCCGCTAGTGGCTTAGTGGCGGCTACTAGTTGCACGAAACTAGTTGAGTTCATTTTTGAATGAATTTCATTAATTACCGCCGAGAGCTTGCAGGGGTTGAACGCTTTAATGAGCTCAGGCTCGGTTTGCTCAGATACTATACAGAATGTAATAAAAAAACAACTTCTAGTGGCCGCGTTAAAGGCCGCGACTAGTGGCCCAATGTGCGGTTGCGTTTAGAGATGAGAATTCTTTATACTTCTTAATGGTTCCATTTTCATATCAAATTTTATCAAACAGTTCAGTGTACTGTTATGGACAAATACAGAATTTCGGATTGATAACTTGGCATCGATTAACTTTGAACCTTCAGATGAGTGACTAAGATAGTACGTACGTATTAATTATAGCAAAAAAAAATGGCGATTATGTTATTGATGTGAAAATGAAAAAATATGAAATATTTCCGGAGAGACTGTTGCAGGATGGACTCTGCACTTAAGTTTGACTTGTGAATGACACAGGCATACCTATGTCTATATTACCAGCTGTTTTACGTGCTAAGCGATGTCGTTGGGGTAGGCATAGCACAAGTGTGGCACCAGACGTCCAAATTGGCCACGATCGTACCATGACATAATGGGAACTCGTCGTGCGATGGAAATAATAGTACGATTATTCAACAGGGATTCCCTAATAGATCTCACGATGTCCATCGTACGACAGCATTGCACGATAGCGTAGCCGCCATCATCTCACCGGCGTCATTTCAACAATTGCTCTTTATATAATTGCACAGTTTTTGCTGTTGGTTAATATTGCTGTGACAATTGCAAATGACATTGCGTGAGTGCGTATGCGATCCTTAAACCTTCTTCATCCTTTAACCAGTAGTTTCCCAGACCTAGCTCGTCCCGAGACCCACGGGTGCTGTGCTCATGCAATGACCCGTGAGTCGACCAATTAGAACACACAAAAAGATCAGTATATTTTATAACACAATCGCACTATTGAATCCATCGTACGAAAGTTATATTAAATCATAGTTGCCAATTAGGACGACGCCTGATTCTCTGGTATCGCAACAAGGTCTGTTTGCTCTAATTTACTCAATATGGGCGATGAAAGTTGTAGACCATGTGAGTCATAAACTAGTTATATAAGTATCTCTTTGGTTTGTTTATTTTCCAAAATAAATCTATTGGTGACGCTCCAGGACTTGGACCATGATATTTTTTTTTTAAATAAACTTACGTCAATACAAAATGCAGTAAGTCCCCGATGATACCGCTGTGTAGTGTAGAAATGTGGGAGTTCTCACAAATGGCCCTCAATAGGCATTCCTTTCCACTAAAACCGTGTCTGAAAACAGATGTAACAAATTAAACTAGTAAAGGAAATAGAAATACTAAGTTTTGGAGGCTTTTACAAGTACATTATGAGTTACCTATTACAATTCCACCATAGAATTGAAGCCTTGTTTTCAGACAATATTATTTCCGGTATTATATAGTTTTTATGTTTATTACTTAATCACGCAAAAACTGCTAGATATATTTTATACCAATTTCTGTGTGAAATGTAATAAACACAATTTATTATCTAGATTACGACAAAGAATAATATGTTTTATTTGAGAACATGTAATAACAAGGGGTCTCATTTCACCAATCGGCAACAACGCACCCTGTGAGTTCCGATAATTAAGATGGCTTCGAGTATCGCTCGCTGTTAGACGCATCATAACAACGGTTTTGTTTATTTGATTTTATTATAATATTACCCGCGGTTAAAAGTTTGTTGTATTTTCGCTATTACGAATTTTTAAATACGAACTTCATGCGACACGAAGTAAGCCACTGTAGCTATTATTCAAATCACGTGATCAATACCTTATATTCAAATAGATTTAACATATATTTCCATGTATAAATCATAATTATGACTCGTCTGGTGATAAGTGCCTTATTTTGAGGTGATTTTGCTAACTTAAAAATAAATTTAACCGCAGTCCTCTTCTTTTCATCATCTATAAAGCATGATAAGTGAAAAGAATTTTCAAATTAAGTTTTTAGTTCTAAGAAAATTATAGCTCATTTTATATCTTTTTAAGTTATGAAGACAAAAACACAATGCTTTTTATTTGAGCGAATATATCTTGAACGTACGTCAAATGTTTTTTGTCTGAACAAATAATAAAAACTGTTTACGGCACCAGCATTGGAACAGTGAGTTATTTTTTACTTGATTCACTCAATTCACTATTCCATGAAACCGGATTTTGAGTAAGCGTCAATAGGACTTTTTATTTTAAAATAAGCAGATGGCCAGCACTTGCACCAGGGTAGGCCCTGACCCAATCCCCAATCCCGTGGAGCCCTGGAACCTTACTCACCGACATAAACATAATACTCTCTATAAAGTAAATGTTACTTCCCCAGGGCATTCCGATTCGATTCTCTTATACTTAACAGTATCGTAACCTTTGGGGGGAAAAAAGATAATGCTCACTTCTCTAGCATGGCTTCAGCGAAGGTATACACGTATGCCCTAGTAAACATCCCTGGAGAGTGGATAGCACTACGAGACTGTCGGCCGTTGACCTGAAACGATTGCCAGAGAAAATTCAACACTACTATTGATTGATATAAACTTTGATGGGTTGAATGAACCTTCAAATGAAGCCCACGAAAACGGACAGATTTTTAAATAAAGATTTTGTTCAGAACAATGTTGGTGAAATATAAATGCTTTGTAGAGTTGTTTGTGCAATACCGACAGTTAATTTGAAACAACAAATAAATTTTAAAGTAGATACCTATTCTATCGTGATTTAAATCAGTATCTTTTTTAAACTTGACTCTGTATTCGCAATGAGTTGATTGATTACTACATAGTTGTACCTTGAAATATTAAGCTATATATTACGACCGAACTGAAGACACCGATTTTTAAAGATATTCTTGAATTTCTTTAGTTCCAGCATTTTCACAATCTGTAATTTTTTAAAAGGAAATACTCAAAAAAAATATAATATAACACCTAAAATATAATTACTAACCTGGTTAAGTTACCATTTTTTTAAGGTTAAATTACTATTCTTTGATGATCATATAAATACACACATCAAAAGTGTCTAGGGATCAAGCATTTTTATGCGGATTTCTTGAGATTGAGATGTGGCTTTGTAATAAATTTATGATTTTATAAATTTATATGGATCCTTTTTGGTGCATTTCATAATTTGAATCAGGAACTGTGAATCAAATTCGAGTAAAAGATGAAAATCAGCTGTCAATATTTTCCCTATAAAAACATACAACGCATTGAAGACATTATTAGTGCTACTGTTTCCCTACTACTGATTAAAACCAACGTTATTATGGAGCGGCGACGTCATTTAAGCAGGGAAGAAATGCTCAGAGCCGTGGGAATGATAGAAGCTGGTTCCCGGCAACGTACTGTGGCTTTAGCTCTGAATACAAGTCAGAGTGTCAGTCGACTTTGGACACGATACCGAAGCACTGGTACCGTGGCTGAGCGCCATGGAGGACGGTATCGCTGCACCACACGGAGACAAGACCGATACATTCAAATCTTAACTCGAAGAGCTCCAACAATAACCGCCATGATGTTAGCCGTGAGGCTTCATCACTCTTCAGGGAACTTAATTAGCGACCAAACAGTCAGAAACCGCTTGCATGAAGTGAACCTTCATTCCCGAAGACCGCTACGGGTACCACCTATAGCAATGCACAATCGTAGGATTCGATATCAATGGGCTCTTGAACACAGAAATTGGGCAGAAGAACAATGGCGTTTCGTGTGCTTTTCTGATGAGTCTCGTTTTGGTATGAGACCGGATACAAGACGTATACGACACTGGAGAACCCCTGGACGCCAACAGCGATTAAAATCCTGCCAGGAAGTCCATCCTTATAGTGGTGGAACCATCATGGTATGGGCGGGTATTTGGATCGGCGGAAGAACTGAGTTGATTTGGATCAGAGGCAACCTCAACGCTCAAATTTATGCTGAGACGATTGTATCAGACGTCATCGTTCCTCTACAAGTGCAAATCGGTCCCTTATTTCAGTTAATGCATGATAATGCACGACCGCACACCGCAAGAGTTGTAAGACAGACTCTCGCCGCAGCTAACATCAATGTCCTGCCCTGGCCTGCTCAGTCGCCAGACTTGAACCCGATTGAGCATGCATGGGATATGCTACAGAGAAGAGCTCTGCCGAATATGGAGGGTATCCAGTCGCAAGAAGACCTTTTTTTGTTGTTGCAACGAACATGGGCGGCCATTCCACAGCGTGATTTGGATGAACTCATTTTGAGTATGCCAAACCGATGTTCTTGTGTTGTTAGTGTTCGCGGTAGAAATACGGATTATTAATTGTTAAAGTTACCCAATAAAATTTTAGAGAAAACTGTTATTTCAGTCTTTTTTTCGAACTTTTGTGTTAGTGGTTCAAATGTCAAAAATCTCTTTATTAGGAAAATGGCAAATTTCTTTATTAATGCAAAGGTGACTTGGTTTATCGTTACTGTGACAAACGAAAACACTTTATTTGATGAATCCTTAAAGAAAATTTTAATTAATATCAATCAGGAGAAAAGTTATTGCAAAAATATATGTTGATTCCTAGACACTTTTGATGTGTGTATGTGTTTTTTCTAAATTTTCAGGTTTACCACACTATCTTTCGTATATTCCAAATTATAATTGATATTTAATTAAATATAATAGCTTGAACTTAAACTATGGATTTCTAATACTGATAAAGTTATTTATTTTGTAAAATATTCTTAATTATGTCTGTTTTTAACACTCAAAACAGAGTTATGTTCTTATTTACCAATTTTGGATCGAAGAAAACACTATTAGAGCAGAAACGCCATTAAAACTATTTGATCTCTTTTGCCATGAAACGCTCTCACGAAAACCTCTCAAAATTTCACAAAAATCGTCCACGATTTCAACTATTCACTCAGTTATTGGAAAACTGCTTTTAGATCTCTGACCCAATTGGAAACGTGCAGCTTTGAACGACTGTTTGATGTCTAAATGGTTGAAATATATTCGTTCACAAAAACCAGGAAGCTAAAATTCGCGCCATAATTACATGCGTTGACTTTTGTCTCTTCAATTTGTAGGAAAGCTTCTTATATTTTTATTATTTTGATTGACATTGTCATTTTGTTGCAGTATACGGATTGTTTAAATTTGAACTGCCTGTCTACTTCTACCATTAAAAATTGTGTAAAGCCCCCTGATAGGCAAACGGATAGAAACACGGACAGCGGATGTACAATGCATACAGTAAAAGTAAAAGATATTTTGTTTTGACTCTTTAAATTTTCATACGTGGTTATACTACAAAGATAGCTCTAAATTTTGCGTTATAATGGCCTTATCAATGCTGGAGGGTTATGGTATGCATCTAAGTGCTCTACTTTGTAACTTTATGTGAATTAGCCATATCTGGTTTCGTATCTGTTTTGAACATGTCAAACTAATCAAAATTACTTTGTAGGTATGTAAGTAGCTGTAAGTTTTTTTTTCTCAATAATTATATGAAGTTTTTTTTATCTTTAGAATAATATTCAATTTGCACAGATAAGCTTTGTTTACCATTTGGACCTTAGTAAGCGAGTTCCATTTTTAAACATTCTAATTGGATAGCATTGAATTTTGTGTATGACGTACATGACGTAATGATGCAGGGACAAATATGTGCGGTCATCAGGCAAACTCTGGATTTTGAGTCATACCTTTAAAGATGTTATCGTATGTACTAAAATTATTATTTTAAGCTTTTTTTATGTTCTTTTCTTTCATATTTTTTTCTAATAGCGGTAACAAAACTTTTATACTTACAGCTATATCACCCAGCAGAGGTTGGTAATAAGTTGTGTTATCGACAATATAGTAGTTTGCTTCAAAAAACCACGCAACACTGACTGTCGCTTCTGGGTGTAAAGGGACGGATACTGTAGCGAACACCTGTAAGACAACAAAACAATGCCATATTAGAAATATCTTTAAACTCCTTAGAGAGTTACTTGTATACTATGCAAGAGTGTGCTAGCTCAGTTAATAGGCCAGGGCAGGATGCCTACGTTTTTGTTACAGATTTCACAACCTCTTATTCTGCACTGAAAGGGAAAATGCCCATTACGCAAGCAATTACTGAACAATTTGAATGAAGAAATTTTAGTTTTCCTTTGTCTAAGATTTAAAATCAGAACACTTATATATTTGTGCTCTTATAAGCATTAATAGAAGAACTAATAAATGCTTTCATATTAGGCAAACTGTGGCGTTTTTCATTTTTAAATGACTTATTAGCATCTAATGTTTCCAATACGGCCGCACGCTGCCGCAAAAAGGAATAATGTAGGGGATTCTAAATTACTTCTAAATTCTTTCCAATTTCTCGCAGTAGTATTGTCAAACTTCGCCGAGGCCATATAAATGATAATAGTGTCCCATTCATCTGTTGGTTCACCCAAAGAATTCAAAGCACTTAAATTTTTTGACAAATTATCAATTAATCTACGAATGCCACTTTCAGATTCTTTATGTAATGTTTCCATCGAAAATAAACACTTCTGTCCCTCTAACATGACCACCGAAACGGGATATGATAAAGCGATATATCGGCATTAACTGTCAGATTACCGTGGAGTTTGACAGTAGTAGATTCGGTGGTCATGCTAGAGGGGCATATGTTCATTTATTAAAAGTCGTTTGTTATCATACATCTTACAAAGAAGGTTCCATGCGATAGCATAATTATTTTTCAAAGTTAAAAAAAAGAATTGCAAATTTTTCTGATTGTTGCCATAAGCTTAATTGATGTTCTCGAACTTGAATGACATATTAATACTAAAGACAGTCAGTAATGCAAAGCAAACTCATATACACAGTTGAAAGTCGCTTTTTTTAGTTAAAAAATATAAATGTATCAAATTTCAACTTACTCCCCATTGTGTCGATGGTGTAAAAATCAGATACCGCTTCCCTCTTTTATGATTTTCGCTGCAACTATTTGGAACAGCCAAAGCCAGCAGTGAACTGTAAATGGAGATAACAGGATTTTGTATAAAAATACCCTTAACAACAACATTGTTTACAAATATAAAAGGTTACATTGACAATTCAATGGTGTAAAGTTTTTAATTAATACTAAATATAGTTTTGTTCGAATATATATCAGTATTTGTTAAGGTATATGGAAAACGGACTAAACTAATAAAAACTTCGATGAGAACGTTACAAATCCAAATAAACCCAAAACTTAATACGTACAAAATACTGTACATGACAACCCACATGTTTTAGGTGAACGACTTACAAGAAACTAAAACTTCCGTGCCAATGAAATTACCTCATACGGCGAGAGCTCAGAGCAAACATGTCCGGGCTTCCTTAACGAACGTTTGACGACTCTGTATTTACCCAAGAAATTTGGCAAAACGCCGCCGCCTCTTGTGTGACTGTACAGATGTCGCTAATGTTAAAACATCGTCCATATCGAGTACGTCAGTCACATTGAATTATGACGTTCTGTATGGCATCACGTCTATTTATCGTTGGGGGACAGTATTTTACCAAATGGATGTTAATTGATCAGTCAGTAAACTAGATTTTGCAACATTATGATTTCAGTAGAATTTGGTCGTGTTGTTTCTATACAAGTTAATGGTAACACGCCAAAGTAATTTCTACTTTGTTTTTGTTTACGCTTAAACGCTGAAAGTACACATTTCATTTGCATTTTAGAAGTTAACGGGAGAGATCTAAGAGAATTTTATTTTTATTCTTGAATAGGCCAATTGGTTTAATATTTATCTTTAAAATACCTACCTCTAAGTGAAATAACACTCGTTTTTAGGGTCCCGTAGTCTGACGTCTGTCCGTCCTCGGTTTTTTTTTATAGAATATGAGCCCTAGAGAGCTGTAGTTTGTGAAAATATGTATATCAATCACGCCGACAAAATGGTAGAATAAAATTTTGAAATTTTTTTTAGGGTATCTCCGTAACATATAAAATGCGGATGTTTTTTTTATCATCTACCCCATCGTGTGGGATATCGTAGAAAAGGTCCCATAAAATTACTAAGGGGTTTACAAAGACTATTTTTTGATTTAGAGATACGTTTGCACAATATTGAACTTTAAATACTAATTTTTGTTCGAGTAGGATATCCCCCCTCTAAAAGCTAAACTATTGGGTTGAGAAACTTGTAAAAAATCATGATAATAGAGCTTTTCATAAACTATTAAGAAAAACTATAACGGTTAAGAAAGATTTGTTACTTTAAGAGTAATAGTAGTTCAACTTTGGTTAACGAAAATTTCTTAACAATTGAAAATTCTTTAAAAAGAAACATTGATAGCGACATAGATGAAGTTATTGTAGCTTAAACCTTACATTACAACAAAATCTAAAAAAAAACTAATCTAAAAATATGTAGATTCATATTAATTGGTTTTTCTAATTTCCGATATAGAAAATAATACTCCTGTTCAAATATATTGTGGTACAGGCAACTACAGAACCCAACACTGCGCATGGCACGACACGCAGTTGGCCGGATTTTTTCTATGAGTAAACAAAGACGGCCAATTTATAAAAAAAAAATATTATCTGATTGGTAAATACCTACGTACCTAAAATAAAAAAGTACATCAATTTAGTCATAATTATTATTTGATCAGTTGGATTATGCGATGAAAAACCTTACCCTTGTACTTAAATAAGCAATCAAGTGCTAGTCGGACTCGCCCATGAAGGGTTCCGTGGCAGAAAGTAACAAATTATAAAAGTTCTCGTAGTTCGTTGTAACATTGATCGATGTTTTAGTAAAACAGTTTTTTTTTAAATTAAGCTATTGTTAAGTAAACTTGAATTGACCGAATGAAAGGTAAAAGTGAAATTGCGGTTTACGATTTACGACGTATTAAAAAAAGCTATTTACTAGATGTCGTTCAAACCAATTTTCTGTGGAAGTTCACACGGTAATGTATTATATTATATATATATAGTTTTATCATTCTCTTATTTTACAAGTTACAGGCACACATTTTACCACTTTGGAAGTGTCTCTCGCGCAACGAGTTAAGAAAAAAGATATTAGGAACCTCAGTATAATTTTTCAAACCTATCTACAAAAACCCCACACGTATTGCTTTGATGAAAAAAAATTGAGTTTCACTTCTAAGTATAATGCCCAAAAAATATAGTTCTTTTTTCAATTTTTGTGTGAAAATCTTAATGCGGTTCACAGAATACATCTTCTTACCATGTTTCAACAGTATAGTTCTTATAGTTTCGGAAAAAAGTGGCTGTGACATACGGACGGACAAACCGACAGACAGACATGACGAATCCATAAGGGTTCCGTTTTTTGCCATTTGGCTACAGAGCCCTAAAAAGTAGTTAAGAATATGAAGCTGAAAAAGTTTTAGAAAAAAAAAACAAATTAATAGACAACCTCCGTGGCCGAGTAGATTGTACGCCGGGTTTCATGGTGACGCCGACTCGAGAGGTCCCGGGTTCGAATCCCGGTGGGAACAGATGTGTGTGTGATGAATACGAGCATTTGTATTCCAGTCATGGATGTTTAATATGTATTTCTATATAAATATACTTATATATGTACTGTACATGTATGCTATCCGTTACCCTAGTATCCCATAACACAAGCCTTACAGTGCTTACCTTGGGGCTAGGCTAATTGGTGTGAGTGTTGGAAATATTTATTTATTTGATTATTTACGATTACAATTTCATATAGGTAACTAAAGAAGTTAATAAAACTAAAAATATGACTCCCACGTTGATTCGAAACCGAACGTTTATGCTAATGCTATCGGAATTGGAATCCTTTACCTTTGCTCTGCTACAGTCGTAAATACTGAAAGTTAAATGTATTCAGTCTGTAATGCATTCAGATGCACTGGGTTTTTCTGACTACTCGTATTATGTTACGTTTTTTTTGTGTTTCATAAAGGTACAAACAAGGCTTTAGTATAAATTAACTCATCCCTATTCATCCTTGACTTGCCAGCATGAAGAGCAATCAATTACCCAAAGGTTTTTTAAATTCTGCTATGAAAATTGGGTCAGTCACAATCTTACAATTCAAGTTTGGAATTGATTGCGGAATTATTCCATTTTAGTTTATAAAGAATGGTATGATCCCCTACTTATTAAAACAGATTACGACTGATGATCCACTTCTTAAACATCTAATTCGGATTGTGTTGGAACAAGAAAAAATTAAGGAACATTTAATTATTACATTCACGGCTTATGAAAGTCGGTTACTTAGTCGCATTTATGATTTCGTTTATTATACATAGAAGATAAATGTTGAATGTTCATTATATTATTCCATTTGGTCAATAGTATAAGGCATTTTCGGTGACAATTGTAAGCGTCCAATACGTCGATCTTTCGAAATTTACCCAAACAATATTTAGGATCAAGCTAGATATAAAGATGTGGCAGGCATGTTTGTGTCTTATTTGAATTGATATTTTACGCCCGCGTAAAGGGTATAACTTCTATCTATGTCGATGATGATTCCAGAATATTGCAGCCAAACAACTCGTATTATACTTCTGTAGCGAGTAAGGTCGGAGCTTCACGAGGTAGAGGGCATTGGGTTCAGGTCGATAAACTGAAACATCATCAATCTTCGCAATGGAACTCTCCTCATACTAAGCATTATAAAAGAATTAAAAGGAGAAGAAAATAAGTTAGAATTATAAAATTATAAAAGCATAAAATATCTCTATTTCACGATTTTTTCTCTGACGTTTCGGAACATTTGATAGCTTCGTGGTCACAATTTGCAACGCTATTTCAAACATAAATTTGTTTCATAAGATTACATTAATGGTTGTTTTCTAAGTAGATAAATAAGTATTTAATAAGGCATAATACATAGGAATTTTACCACATTCAAGTATTCCGTAATGCAACCAAAGAACACACCGCATCAAAGACACGCGCTGTTTTCCGTTCTCGGGCCAATTTATTGAAATGAACGGATAAAATGGGATTCTGCGGTTTCAAGCGCCGAGCCAATATGTTGTGCAGATGTTTTTGCTTCGCTTGTTAATTTTGTATTTAGCTCCTAGAACCCTTTCAACATTTCTTTTTAGTGTAACAAATGAATGTTTTGTTAATATCATTATTAAATTAAGGATTTCATATCATCACTAATATCACATAATCGCTAGTAAATAACAATAAAGTAAAGATTTAGGTATAAAACCGCGCGTTTTCCAATTTTTCGGTTTCAGTGGTGTCTTTCATTTGAACAACGATTAAAAGATCATTCAACACAAAATAAAACAGATTTTTAAGCTGATTAATTACGGAACGTAACTTATAGTTTACTGCTGCAAATCATAGTTTCAGTCGAATGATCATCACTCACCACTATGAATTCAGTGAAGGCAGGCATCTGGGCCATACGGTACATCCCAAATAACTGGGAAAACATAACGGTTCATTAAACAGAAACTGCCGTAGGCGCTGCGCAAACATGAAACATTTTATCTTGTACTGTATTCACACAACGACGCCATGCTCCGCCCTGCGAGTCACCGTCGAAATCAAACGTTATTCCTTACATCAATTTTACTCAATATATTTATAACGGTGGCTTCCAACGCAAGACACAAAAGGTACCTTATATATCCAGACGGGGGACCTGCCAGAGCACAGGTACGTGATTCTTTCATATTACAGAGAATCAATGCAAATTTACACAACCCAGCTGATTTAACTTAAGTAAATGATGTTGCCTTTGCTCTCGACATCTCAGCTTAACGAAGCACCGTGCTTTATTTTTTGTTCAAGAATTTAAATGCAATTAAGTTGTCCGCTTTAGCCAGCCGTTTGGAGCATAGTGAAAGATTTTTCGGTGCGCTTTGGCCCTTTTTGTTCGTTTGGACGTATCCCAGGAATGAATAACGTTCACTAATTGCAAATCATTATTTATTTTGATCTAACAACTTTCTATTAATAAAATGCACAATAATTGTCAGGAAAATATGTATGTGTGTAGTTTCCAGTTTAAAGAAAAAAATGATGGCATTTTTTTAATTAATCCGTCGTGCTATATCAATAAAAACTCTCGTTTGCTATCCTATCCATTGCTCTCTTTATTAAATATTTTGTTCATTATTTAAATTTCAGTTTATCATAGGTTTGGGTATTCCAGTAGATTTGAAAGAGCAGGCAGTCACAGTAGGAACAGTAATTAAATTTCAATACAACCTGCCGACGAACAGTTCAGAGTACACGAGCAGAATATATGGTTTTGCAAACACAGTATCCGCTAGGGATAATATCGCAAATTCAGACAACAATGATAATGATATTAAGGACGACGATTCTAGAAATTTAGTTGACGAAAATGATGACGGCTTTGATGAAAGTAATAATGATACCCTTGTTGATATAACATTCGAAGGGGAAAGAAGACGAAGGTCTTTGATGTATGCAGAAGGTGGTTCTATGCTTGATGTAGATCAAAATGATAGCACAGATATTTCACTGGAAGAAGCTATTGAACGACAAGAAAAAATAGATCAAAATTATTTAGACCCACAAGAACCACAGAGAATGAACAGATGGGATTTTTACAAAATACTGGAACACATGTCTGAAAGGTTAGTATGAGTGTATAGTAGAGTGAGTAGAGTAATAACTGTAATACTGTTCAATTATAACTATTGATATAAAAATAAATGCTTCAACAGCTTTATCAATAATATCTTTTTACAAAAAGTAAAACATTTTTGGCTTTTAAACCTTACTTAGTACAAAATTAGAGAAACGAGTTTCTTTTGTCATTATGCTTTAAACCTTAATTACAAAAACATAAAAATAGAACAGTATAAATGATTCAGTAATTTTAAAGAATATTGTAACCCTACAGAACGTAAGTACTTTTTAATAATGATAATGTGCTCACAAGTGCTTTCAAAAAGGATCAGATATTTAATGCCCAAAGCTTGGTACTGAAATTACTTTAAAAATCACGCAGGTACGGCTATTCAGGCAGACCTTGCTTGCTGCGAACAATCTGTGAAGCGGCCGAGGTCCCATTCACCCACGAAAATGGTTTGCTAGCTGAAATTGGTCATATACTTTTCACGTGAGTAAATATTGGGCTAGCACAAAAGGTGCCGTAATCAATTTTGCTGAAATTGAATTTTCGCATTAAATCGAGAACGTATCATTGCATGTCGCATTCTGTAATTTTAAATGATTTATGAATTCAGGATTCAATGTTTAAAATCGTTAAATTGTATTACAATATGGGAGGCTTCCATTTTAAACATTAATCAAATGTGGACCGCGTCATTATTGGCCATGTAATTATCCGTATGAAGAGTTCGATTGTTGGATTTGAGAGAGACTTTCGTAATGGTCGTCCATTAGATGGGTGAATTATACCTAATTTACTATCACGGTCTCGTTCTTGCTTCTAAAATGGTCTTATTCTTGCTTCTGAATCAAATCAAATAATTTATTCTAATATATACCTATATTTATTTATTCTCTTCTCCGTGGCCGAGTGGTCTGTATGCCGGGTTTCATGGTGTCGCCGACTCGAGAGGTCCCGGGTTCAAATCCCGGTGAGGGCAGATATTTGTGTGATGAATACGAGCATTTGTACTCCAGTCATGGAAGTTTAATATGTATTTATTTTAAAAAAAAACTTATATATGTACAGTATAGTATCCCATAACACAAGTCTTATAGTGCTTACTTTGGGGCTAGGCTAGTTGGTGTGAGTGTAGGAAATATTTATTTATTTATAATTATTCTGGAAGTTTATTACAAATGAGGTAAGGAATCCTAAACGTTGGTCTGGACTGAATCTGGAGTCATTAGCAGCCACCAATCTGTACTAGGCCCGCGTAGTGTGTCTCTCTTCTATCCATAGGGAAGGCAGGTTCTTCGGCAGTGAGAACATTAATAGGCCGATACAATTTATAATATCGTATTGGTAACAAACAGCAAGATCAGTAAGAAACTACAACCAAATACTTAATTTTATTAAACATGATAACTACAAAAAATGATTTAATTGAGATTATTATATTTTTATGAAATGCGTAGCAAACAAGTGTTCATTAAATAATATTCACTAAGAAGGGTGTCAATTAAGCATATGATCCACACCCACTATACCCACCAGATTGTAAGCAGCCGCCATAGCATAAAGACTTTTGTAAAAGCAAACTATAACTTGTGGCGTTGTCTCTGTGTACCAATTCGTATCTGAGTAGGAAGACCACTTAACTTCAGTGCTTTTTCCCATCGCAAAAGTGTCCCAACCGCCTCAAGAAGATTTTTCACCGCCATAACTATTATGTCTCCTCGAATACCAGGGTATATATATACTAAAATATGTAGGAGAAAAGTTACAATTTATATTATGAATTAGGTCCGTTCATATACCATCAAGAAAATTTGCATAAAAGATGAAAAAAGTAAATACTTACACATAATTGCGAAATATGTTAGCAAATTGAGGACATGCTGTTTTTTTAATGGAAGGTGAGCGAAATCAAGTTCAAGGACATATTATGCTTGTAACTTGGTTTAAAATAAAGAAGTTCATATGCCGCCATCTTAAGCAACTGTCATCAGACGTTAAATGGCCATGAACAATACAAAGATATTACCTTTGTTAAAATGTGCCCTAATTTAACTGTCCCACACTAGACCATACTAAATATAAAGTGGCTGATGAAATCTAAAGATTTTTTTGCTAGGAAAAATTAGACGCGGACCATGCAGCAGATGGGACTCGAACCCACACTGAACCATTATGCTGCCGCGGCCCTGTTGGCCGCGTCGAATTTTCTTTAGCCTTAGGCGGCAAGGCAGCGCCATCTGTTCGCATTGTAGGTATGAATACTTTTACAAGTATTGAATATTTGAATGAAGAAATAGCAATTATAGTTATAATAACATGGTGCGGGTTCGAGTCCCGTGTGCTGTCTGGTCCGCGTGGATATTTTCTAGTAAAAAAAATTCTTTGGAATTAAACATCTAGCAGTTAAATCCTAAAAAAATAAATAATACAACTTTGTGATTGTTAATTAAGTAGTTAAGTTCTTGATAGTTTGTTTCGACGGAGATGCCATGTCATCGACAAAAACTTCAAAAAAAAAATATATCTTCACCAGGCCGTCAACTACAAAGGACACGTTATCACACCACACAGACAACGAGTACCATGCTGCTGAGCGGCTCGGCAGGGACACGGGAGTTGACTGCGAGTCGCTGTTCCCGGAATGTGAAGGCTCCATCCTGGAAACTTTCACGGAGATAGGGGAGAGCACGCTCCACAGTTTTGGTTTTTGATGGTTTTTATTGTATGTAAATAAATAATATTCGTTGTTTATCAATTTTTTATTTAAAAAAAACTAATAACTAGAACTGTACCATGAAGCAACACATGCGGTCCAGGCAGTAGACGGGACCGGAACCTGCACCCTACCGCAACCTTAATGGTCGTGTCGAATTTCTTCCTGTATTTATCAGGCTGTAAGGCAGCGCCATCTCTTCGCACTGTAGGTAACCCATAATTTCAAACGAAATACCTTTAAAGAAGAAATAGCTGCCTACACCGCGTGGATTCTTTCTAGAAAACTATTCTTTGGATATTATTCGTTGTTGTTGATTGCTTTGTTTTTTTGTGATTGGAGTGAGGTAGAGCAAATTAGATTTTGCCCGTGAGGAATAAGTTCTAATTTACAGAAGCTACACGTGAAGTAACCAAAATCTGTCAATTTTCACATAAGATTGTGAATCTCATATTAACTAATATATTTTTTTTTTATATGAGGCGCAACAAATTAACCTACCCCAGCCATCCTGATCTTGCCGGCCTGAAATCAATATCCTGCCCCGCGGAGCCCTGGAACCCTACTTACCAGCAGAAACACAACACCACCGAGAGGTAGTGTTATTTTACTGTGGTCATCTGTAAAGTGGAGGCTGCTTCCCCAGACGGGCGCTCCAATTCGAGCGGAAAACTCGTTGTGTTGAAAGTAAAAAAGAAAAAAAACTCAATGTTTTTTTTCTTTTTGACATTTGACAGTTTCAGGTATCCTACTGTACCTGGGTCGAAGGAGGCGGCATTATGCGTATCTCATTCCATCCTATTGAGACTAGCAGGTGGCAGACAGGGTGGTCTACCACCTGCTAGTCATTGCACAGTCTCAACTGTCCGGATGTGCCCAGATGCTTCCGGGCACTCCCCTGACAGCAAGGATTAGGTACCCCTGTCGAGGGTAACGTGGGGAATCTCCGGATCCCACGAAACACGGAAGTACTTTTGGGTTTTTAGTGGGTAGGGCTCCTCCCGGGCAGCCGCGGAGCCTGTTCCAAGGTATAGCTGAGCGGGTTAGCAGGATTTGGGGGAGGAGGAGTCCCACATAACCTCGTCTCTCACCCAGGGGCCCGCCCCTATGCGGCACACATTTTCCCAACATTAAAAAGGTTTCTTGACTTCTGTTCGTGGCTCTTGTTTTATGACTTGAGATGGCAGCAGCATCTGTAACAGGACTATATACTCTGACACTGTTCTGACGAACGAATAGGCCTGTGCCTGGAAATACGTGACCGTAACCCTAGCACACCAGAAAGCGTTTCACCCACCTCATAGACTCGATGACATGACAGGGCCCTACCCGGTAAAAACTAGACAATACTCCTGCACTGGTCACCCATCACGCACTCTGAGGACCGATATGCTCTCCTAGTGCACGACGGGAGAGAGGGTATACCGTGAGAACCGTTTCCGATCTCGCCACGGTCAGTGATTGTACGTTGCCGGACCCACACGCGATAGCACATACCCAACACATCGACAATGAGTTCCCATTCGACTGATTACTCAATGAGGTGCAGCGCACACCAGCAGAGGCGCAGCGAAGATATTACACATGGCTACTCCGAGCGAGACCAAGAGCCACGGAGCGGTTTCTGGTGACTATGAGTACAGCCTGGAGAAACGGAGCGGAGTAGTCACGCACTGGCTTTCGCGGCCGCTTCGCAGCTTTGTGCGCCGCTTGTCTATTATTTCATGTTTGCCATGAAAATTTTAAACTTATGATAAAGGAATTAGGGTTTAACTCAAATTGTTAACAATATCTTCTTCACGCCTCTCGATAACAGTGACTTTACCCGTTAAGTCCAGAGTCCCTAAATAGCGCACTAGTGTAGCACACAGAAAGTGTTCTGTGGGATATGGGTTCTTTTCTATATATACTAGCTGACCCAGCAAACGTTGTTTTGCCATATAAATGACTATTAAAAATAGGGGTTGGTGATAGAAGGGTGAAAATTCAGGGTTGTACGTATTTTTAATGCAACATTATAAAAAAATGTCCAAAAAATAAAAAATAAAATATTTTAGGAGTGGTCAACCCTTATCACTCAGGGGTATGAAAAATAGATGGTAAGACCTTACTTTATAGGATCATTTCTATAGTAAGCTCTTCGCTAGACCTTCACTCCATGTGAGGTTCCACCTGTGGACCAGGAGTGGTCAACCCTTATCACTCAGGGGTATGAAAAATAGATGGTAGCCGATTCTCAGACCTACTAAATATGCATATAAAATTTCATAAAAATCGGTCACGCCATTTCGGAGAAGTATGGTAACTAACATTGTGACACGAGAATTTTATATATAAGATTATTATAGTCCTTGACCACTGGACTGTCAATATTGTTAATAAACCATTTAATATAACTGACGAACGACGTGAACTGACAGAGAGAGAGAAAAAACACAGAATGCGTTACCTGCTTACTTTCCACACAGACAGTAAAGCTTGTTTATCGTAAGGGAAGATCTGAAAGCTGCCAATTGATTGACTAACAAGCAGTAGCAGTCAGTAAAGCACCTCGCACAATAGACGGCCACGACCACGGCCGCAATGACCAGATTAACTAAAGAAACCATATGAACGTCACGCACTTGGCTGTTACGACCAACTTTAGTAAATCTGGTCGTTGCGACCACTGGCCATGGTTGTGGTCGTATATTCATATTCATATTGATTGGTAACATGGTACAATAAAAAGATGTTAGAATACATATGGTGCTCAACCATGATTCGCTAAATTAGCAGGCAAATATTAAGTTACTTTATAATAAATCCAATGCATATTAATATTGTAATTGGTCACACTATTGTCAATCATGAGATGTCTAGTACATGAGATGCCTAATTGTCTCTGTACAAAAACTTCAGTCAAATCAATGCAAGGTTTTTGTAGATTTTTATTGTAATTAGTGTTATTTTCCATACAATTCTAATTAATTTGAGCGGAAAATCCGCTATGTCCTAACTCTCTTAAAGGTTAGATTTACTTTTAATTGTACTTGAAAAAGACTATGGACATTGATATCTATCTTATAGGAAATAATATGAAAGAATGAATGTATGTCTGAATTGTGTATTATGGTAAATGGTGGGTTACATCGTTCACAACCTTTAGTGGTCCAGTCAATCAATCATTTACGACTTATAGTACAGTCATTTCGTAGTTTTACCCGGAAAGTTTTCCGGGAGTTTTGTAAATTGGTGATTTTATGGATTTTGGGGTGCTCTTTCTGAATTTTGACTTTGCCACTTCATATTTTTACCGCTCACGCCGCCATATTGGAAAAATGGCGCCTAAAAGCAGTTTTTTGACAATATCTCCTTTCCGATCACTTTACGGTAAAAACAGTAATATACAAAATAAAACTATAGAAAATTGCCTGCAATTTATGCATCTACCTTTTATTCATAAAGTTAATAGTTTTGGCGTACGAGCGCCGTAAAGAGTACTCCAACGCGCTAGTTCCATCACCAGATAGCGATGATGAAGAAGAAACGGAGACTATAATTGAGAAAACATATGATCAAATCGAGAACGAAGAGAATTGCGATGAAATTGATACTCCCATCGCGGATGATGTAGATGAAATACCGGTCTGTGACGTTTCGATTGGCAGACGATGAAGTTACAACACCTGGTCCATCGAGAATAACAAAGCGAAGGAGAATACGCTAAATCTTAGCACATGGAATTGCATGTGGATTAGTCCTTTTGGGGGTACCATATTAAAAAAACGCGCTATTTACTCTACCTCAAGGTAATGTGGAAATGAGTTTTTTTGGCCAAAATGCGTGTTGGAGTACACTTTGCGGCGCTCGTACGCCAACACTGTTGACTTTATGAAGCAAAAGGTAGATATATAAATTGTAGGCAATTATCTCTAGTTTCACTTTGTTTATAACTGGTTTTATCGTAAAATGAGTCGGAAAGGAGACATAGTCAAGAAACTGCTTTTAGGCGCCATTTTTCTAATTTGTGGCAAAGTCGAAATTCGGAAAGAGCACCTCAAAATTGTTAAAATTACCAATTTTCAAAAATCCCCGAAAACTTTTCAAGTAACCACTATATTTTCTCACCAAATGACTGTACTAATAAGGGTATGGCTTTGAAAATAAATCTATTAGTGACATAGAACACTGTTGATAGAGACTTGAGCAGTTTTGGAGGTTTTCACCGCTTGCGTATGCTTCTATGTACGGTCGTATTTCTTCCTCGTACTCAGTGAAGTGGTCGTCATTTCTGGGGCTGAAAGTAAAAGAGTAAAGAGTTGATTGCAGTTTTATATAAGCGTTTAAGTACTAGATTTTAATATCTTATCAAAAGAAACTACATAGAATTTAGCTGTTATCAAGTACAAGATTTTGGATGGATATTAACTGTTGTTTGATACTAGTAAAAGTATCTTAGCCTATATTGTAGTTATATGGCGATGCCTTACATTATAATGAAAACATGAAAATATATAAAATTTAAGTTAGGGTCTAGATGATACCGATCGTAAGCGCACTGCTGCAAAAAAACGTAAGAAGAATTTGCTTTGGGGTTGTTAGTATAAGAATGTCATTTTGTTTCTGTGCCCAGTATGACCAAAACAATGCTAAAAATCTTCTCATATAAAAAACTTCCGTTTTTCTACCGCCTGGTTGTGCGCGTGCATTCAATTTGTAGCATCGCCCGTACAATACTGTTTTGTAAAGTCACACAGACACGAGATAGGCGTTGTTTTAAGAGACTCCGCTGCCTAGCTGCCGCTGCCGCTCCGTTCTCGGTCGGGGGCAAATTCCCAATATTTTTTGTGAATAATAACTACTTAGCCAAAAAACGATGCTAACAAAAGCACAGAACATAGCCAAACGAGTGTGAATCGGCCCGAATCACGCAGCGCTGCTCTTTGAAATGACATGAATCAGCACGTATAGCAAAAATCCGCTCCGTGCTCCTGATTAAGGCAGCGCAGGCTCTAAACCTCGATGGCGCAGGTGGTTAGCGCGTTCGGCTACGATCGTTGAAGTTAGCAACTTTCACAGTGGTCGGTCATTGAATGGGTGACCAAAAACTCTAGTTCCTCCGTGCTTTGGAAGGCACGTTAAGCCGTTGGTCCCAGCTGCATCTGCAGTCGTTAGCACCCACCAATCCTCACTAGGCCCGCGTAGTGGGTTATGACCTAATCTCCCTATTCCATCCATAGGGAAGGCCGGTGCCCCAGCAGTGGGGATATGAATAGGCTGATGATGATGATGAGGCTCTAAAACCTTCTGTCATGAAAATAAGCTTCCACTAAGTAGATCGTGGTACGAATCGGCATTAGAAGTTATATTCAAAAGTACTGGATATTTTTTTATTTAACTAGTGCGCCTTGAAACGCGCAAATTTTATGGTTATTTTTTTTTCTAGTATGATGGTATAATAAAATTTAACTATAGATGAAACGACGCGACCTTAACGAAGCTATCAGACTTCATACACACATTAAAAGCATTCATAGCTACATTAAAATCGAGTACCTATATAATTTAAAAATATGAAGAGTTCGACATTATCTCAATGAAAATAAACCAAACAATAAACCATAGGTATTAATATGTGCGGAAATTTCTTAATGACTCACTTTAAAGCAAATTCAGCCAGTTCATGCAGGAGATCTTCATCGTCGTCTGCATGCAGAGGCTCGGATCCGAGCTGACACAGAGTGCGCAGAACACAACAAGTACCGTTGTGACCGAACCTGAAAAAGTAGATTATAATAATAATAATTATCAATTTATTTATTAGTCTGTTTCAAATGTCTTCAAAACAAATATAAACAAAGTTTCTTGTAAACAAAAATGTATATTCCACTTCTAGACACAAGGCGTCTCTATTGACAGAATGACAAAGAGGGAAAGGACAATAATTTATTAGGTCAGATGCTAAGATCTATACATTTTGACGGTCCTTTGGAATCACCGAGGAACTTCTTAATATTTTCATTTTATAAGCATTTAACTGGTAATTTATTCTAAAGACAATTTTACTACAAAAAAATACCCACTCGGTTCAGACATCGACGGGATTCAAACCAAAATCTTCAATTATCCGACTGCAACTTCTAGTATTTTAATTTTAAAGTCACCCATCTGATTTCCGTAAAAGTTGCTTAACTTTCAAAATTATGGACCAGATGAGTTGGCCACTGCATCATCGAGCTTTTCAACATATTCAATCATTTACAAGGTGATTTTGTTTTAATTGAGCTGTTCCGTGCTTCATAAGCTACGTTTGACCATTAGTCTTATTGGCTGTAGGTAGCACCCACTATCCATTGCCCTAGTGGTGAGATGCTGCTCGTTTTCTCAGTGAGTGCTATAAAACATCAGCATGTATGTGTATGCGGCTTTAAATTTTGAGTGTGCTTGCTGTTCGTCGCAAATGACCTTTGCAGCGTCAGGTTTGAGGACGGCGAGATCCTAGGGGGACCTCTTACCGAGAATTGGCGAGTGCCTTTAGAGGTATTCCAGGCGGATGGCATCTCCCCATGGGGGGAGTCTCCTCTCCGTCTGGAGCCGGTAGAACACTCGAACCTGAGGGAGGCGGCCTGCCGCGCGCGGTGTAATTGTCTATGAAGCTGTTTGCGGAAAGCCTAATACCGCCGCTGGATCGCGTCGTCACGTGCTGCTCTCATTTGAACGAGATTACGCGCGCGGCATTAACGTCGCGCACACACTTTTCTCCACGGTTTTATATGGAAGTAAATCCACTTGAGCGCCCAGTCGATCGCGGCCTGCTACCCTTTATTTATCCTCGTATAAGCGCGGGTAATTCATCAAATCATTCGACGCTCATCCTGTAATAGTTGAAAAACTTCTCTTCGTGTTTGCGCAAGTCCTTATACGGCGCATATTATAAAACTACAAGGTTGCGATCTCTTCAACCTCCATTTTGAAACTGACTTTTTTCGACGTTGTCTTATCGCGTATCATAATTGCGAGTAAACAATCGCGCGCAGTTCTGTAGCGCGCGTCCAATTGCGTAGGTGAGTTATAACACTGTCACTTTTCATAAGGACTTTTATCGGGGATAGGAAAAAATGCATTGACCCACGACAGCATTACAACAATCAAGAAACCTCTAACAATATTCGATTCTGCGTGGAATTTTAGGCCTCTGACCGATCTTGGGCTTCTCCGCTCACAGCATCACCAAGCGGATAGCAGTCCATGTAACTACCTAGCCAACCAACTCCCATAAATTCACAGAGAAAGCCATGAAACAAGTATTAGGGTTTTTTTTGTTTCCTCCCAGGCGGGGGAACTAGTATGAAATCCTAATGAATACCCTATAGCTGGCTGCAGGGTTATATCAGACTCTTACAGAATAAAACAGACCCTTGACCCCAAGGGCCATACAGACTTTGACTGATGCAATCATCCCCTGAAAACATGATGCAGCGCTGCCTTAGTTAAAACTACTGCATAGTGTGCTTGATGGGTCGATAATCGGGTTCAATCCGATGATCACCCGTACTGGATTGAGACTGAGCGACTGAAGGCCTCTTAGGATCGGTTTTTGGGAAAATCCTATGTCTATGGAGACAAACTTTGAAGTCGGTACATTAACAAATGACGATGATGGTGATCATGCTGACTTACCCGTTCAGTGCTCCTTCGACGTATTTATAAAAGTGGTAGAGTCTTGCGTCGTTTTTGTATGTGTCTCTTTCATCTCGATTCTTCCTAGAGAGACCGGTATACGCTGCGTCGGTCTCCAGAATGTCTAGAGGTATTTGTGATCGGTTCCAAGGCAGCTGGAAGTTCGCCTGGAATGCCCAGTTCATGAATATGTTGTCCGCTGTAGTGGGCGTCCCTATGCCGAAGTTGAACTGAAAATAAATAGGGAAAAAATGTGGAGGAGTTCTTTAACTTCATCGTTAAGTTGATTTCATCGAGTGCCTTTGGTGTGAGTGTTGAGTGTGTTTTTTTAGTTACTTCTGAAACACAGCGACACACACAATGACAAAGTATGACTTCCAACATTATCTTTGTTTTATGGTTAATTTGTATTACAGTTGATTTTAACAAAGGCGCAATCGGGCTCCTAAAACAAGAAACGTAACTTTAAGGTAACTTATTTATATTATAAGTATTTATCCCAAAGGTAGACAGAACTCATCATTAACCATTGCCCATCTGATTGTCTGTTGGTAGCGAAATACACATCAATCGTAAAAGTAAGACAGTTGATATGAACATAATTCACTGCCGCTACAGCAACAAATAAAAGAAATAAAATCATTTTAAAAATTTAAAGGGACCTGATTAATTAAGAAATTAATGTACTTATATTATTTTTTCTCGACTTTATTATGTATTTCAATTCAATCTTTGTGCGATAGTGTAGAACATTTTACGTCTAAAGTTATTTAGCATTATAATACTAATAAGTAATTATAATGTCTAAATCATGTTAAATTTAAACAAAACAGTTCTATGATCCATTTAGAGATTATTTTTCACAGACTGAGGCTCCTCCGCTAGGTCAATGACATTTAATACAACATCTTGTTTTCAAATGCTCACAGAAATGTTTACATATTTTTTTTGGTGGACTTGTCACCTATGCACATGTATGGACAGAAGAAGAAAGAACAAATCTTTAATGGATTTAAATTGTGTAACAATTTTTTAGAGGAATGTTACACAATTTAAGAAAATTAAATCACCCGCACATAAGTTCCTTGAAGAAATAAATTACTAGTGGGTGCCCGAAATCTGAATGCGAATTCATCTGCGTGGAGATTATGGTTTTCTATACAAACTCCCCTTTTCACCTCTTCAATAATGTTTTCTGAAATAAAAAACTACCCTTTGTAAATGAAAAAGGGTAGTTTTGTAAAGAAAAAACATTTAAATCGGTTCAGTGAAGAGGTAACCAACAGACAACCTTTCGCATTCATAATATTAGTATGGATCCGGCATTATAAGTATTATTTATTGCCAACTTAAGCAAACACGAAAGCAAACATACTGTTTGATAATTTTAATGCCGTCGTTGAATATTGTTATAATGACTGTACTAATATTTGCTTTAAAAGGAACTAAAACGGCTTTAAAACCACTCTGGTCTTGTGACAGAACACGTACTTTGTATTGGAAAAGCAAACAAGTGGCGGCTGTCATGTGAATAATACTTCCAACAGTGTTAATAGGTGAGTGCAGACCGCACCATTCAAAGAAATAGGTAGAATTTATTAACAAATATTTATCTAATAACAAGTTTCCGCTCGAGACTCCTGTACTCTTTGGACCATGTGTCGCAGACTTGGAGTGACGCTAATATGTAAGAGGAGGCTAAGTAATAGTTTACCGCTCAAAGTATTGGCCAATAGCATCACCTTAGTATTGTGGAAAGCCAATATCAGACCTTGAAAGGTCTTAAACAACCATCTGAGTTACTACCTAGAGGAACACTCTCTGATTATTGATCATCAAAACGACTTTAGACTGAAATTACTCGATGGGTACAGCACCAGTCTAACGTACATGACTCATACCTGGGGCGAAGCTATCGACAAGCGGGCTAGTCGTTGGTTATTTTTAAAACTAGTCATCGCCAAGGCTTTTTGCAGGGTATGGAACAAAAGCCTAAAGCCAAAGTTCTGGCATACGGTTTGCCTACTCAGGTCTGTTTCTGTGAGAGAGACTTATCATTGAGCTTTATTAGGTTTTGGACCACATCTGTTAATAAGGTACCAAGAACTTGGTTTATATCAATGCTAAGAAAATCCAGGTCTATGCTTTCACGGCAAACACGGTGCTTGTCCTTCTCCATCCTTCTACAACTCAATATCACCATGCCCGGTATGGAAGTTCACTGTCTCTTAAATCTAGAGAACTACCTCAAAGCTGTAACAAAATTAGCTTTACGGAATTCTGAACAAGGTGTGACGTTTTTTCTTATCGTACATAACGCAAGTGCGGTCCTGCGTGCGTTTTATAGGCCTTAACCACGGAGAGTATTCTAAAGAGTTTCTTCCCTTATTCCACCTTCCCCTTTCAAAGAAACACATGATAATAACGCCTTTATTCTTCCAATAGGTTAACCAACAGAAGAACTATACCGAATACCACGTACCATAATTATTGGTACATGCTTATACATAATAGCTGTGATGAAATGGCGGCACTTAGAGACGTTAATTAAACTTCATTCTTGTCATAATGATATAGTTATTAAAATCACAGCATTCACTTATATAATGTTACTCAAAAAATAATTGGCAAAGCAATTTTACTGTGAAAACGTTGCTGTAAATGATTAATGTTTGAGGATCATTTGATAAAAGTATAATAATAGTTTTAAACTTTCATGGTCACTTACATTATAGTAATATATGTTATTAACGGAATTGTTACCATGTACCTTGTTTTTAGCGAGTTTCTGATATTTCGGCACTCTTGCAAGCGTGATTACTCCGTGATCATGGCGCTTGCAACAGTGCCGAAATATCAGAAACTCGCTAAAAACAAGGTACATGGTAACAATCCCGTTAATAACATATATTACTATAGTGCCTTAGGATGCCTGACATCCAGAATGTTAAACATCATAAGGCATTTCTGCATCCCGCAAAGGTTAAATAATGTCAGGTTGATATGTATCTTTAGATAATTAAAATACTCTTCCAATAACCATAATTATTAAAAAGAAAACTTTGCCTGAATCGTTGCAAAGACTCACCTGAAGCAACGTCGAGTTCGGAAACAACAATTGTCTTTTACTCCTTTGTATTGGATCATCATATATGATTGAGCAAACAACGATAATCAAAATATTGAAAAATATCAAAATGTTATAGGAATTTGACATCACGTTATCTTCCCTCTTTGGTAAATATCAAGACTCAATAGTCTCAATAGTCAATTATCCCGGTGGGTTGTTTGCTAACTTACTTCTTATTATAACATCATTAAAATCCTTTTTTTGTCATCTATAAAGTTTTGTAAAGAAAATCCAGATTTAAATAAAACAAAGTAGTGCACTTTGCAACCCGAAACTTTTTTTTAACATTTACACGAAACACGACACATTGGAACAAGACTATTTCATTGCCGGCACCCAATAACCGGTATAAGATATGTGGCGACGTCGAGACTGGCATATTAACGGGTTTGCAATAAGCCCACATGCACGTTGGATAAAGCGTTACTATATTTCAGACTAAAAACCTATATTTCGCTTACATTTTTATATAGATAGATGCTAAGTGACGGTGAAATCCAGACGCGAAGATAGCTGATCACACAAAATAATAAAATTTTATAATTAAAGAAAACCCGTCAGGGGCTGTTCTTTGCTCCAAGATTAGAAAGAATGTCAATAAAGACTACAATTATATAAGGAAAAGTAGTGAATATCTTTTTAAATTTAGAATATCTTTTTGAGAGAGATTTTGATTCATGAAGCGGGCTTAACGTGGATTGGCAAGAAGTATTATCAGTTGTATAAACATTTTATTTAACGAATGCAAAATAAAGAAATATTTTTACACTCATATTAATTAATTAAGTAGTCTATCCTAAAAGTTAGCAAGGTAAGGTTTGAATTATGGAATTGTAGAGTAACGTATACAAAATACTTAAAAAAAAAATATACTAAATGATATTTTGTTAAAAATATATATAAACAGCCATGAGTCGATTAAAATGCTCGTATTCAACATACTAACAAATGTGCCTGCCTGCATTCAGACTCAGAGTAGGTGACATTTGAAAATCAGAACACGGACATGGATGTTATCACATGTAACTGAAATCAACAGTAAACTGTAACTTACACTCAAAGACTGTTTCAATTGTTCATCGGTCATCCATCACGTGGAAGTCACAGAATTTCCAAAAACAGGACAATCTTTTATACTTCTACCATTTCAGTTCAACATTCCTCGGTCTATAGTAGACGTCTTCACTGTGGAATCAGCACTACATACTCGGCTGTTACGTTGGTCACTCGTGATCAAGACCCATCTTACTTATCCGAGATGTGGGTGCATGTTAAGTGGTAGTTGTTACAAACACCTCACTATCACCTGTTTTGTGATTAAACTTTTTCTCTTGTGTGTGTACGCGTCCGACGAAGAAGGACGGTAATGTGGTGAGTTACCTCAATCATCTCTCTCTTTAAACTTATTATTTGTGACATAAAAGTTTGATGCAACGAGAATGATGTTTACTATCCCGTGACGTTTATTGTCTAAAGCAGACGAAATATCAGTGTTCCACTAAATTTTAAGAAAAACAATCATAAATTTATAGGGCTACTTTAATAAATTATTTTTATTCTGATAACGAAAATTAAGATTAACGAACCTCATGCATACAAATTTTTCTGTTTTAGTTTATTTTGCCAATAAAAAAACAAATTTCCCAGTTCCAAATTTTTTTCATATAAAAGCACATTCATCCTTTATAACCTGTTCATCTGGGACTCGTCTTGCAAATTGTCTTGAAAATCCTCCTAATTTATGTGGATTTCAAATACAATTAAAAAACCGCAATATAGCGCCATCCTATCCAGTTGTAAATCAACGCCATCCAGGGGCCCACTTAAATGCACACATCAGTTTACTCAAATCGATGTAGAGGTATTTATTTAAGCAGCAAACAGCAATAGAAATCAGAATAAATTCTGCCAAATTTCTCTAAAATACTTGAGCATTATCGTTCTTAATATTATGCTTACAAAAGATTTAGGATAAATACTTTTTTGTAACTTGACGTAGGTATTGTTAATTGTACCACTAACACTTAGGTAAGAGATCACAGAGGAACTCAGAATTGAACCAGAAATAAGGAAGTTCCATTTTCCAACAAAATCCTATGGTGAAGAATAAAATTCTGGATTTGTGATAATAATTACTCACGAAGACGATCTACGACGGATATGTCCTACTACGAAAGTTAGCTTTTCTGTTTTTGGCTATTATATCGTATTGATAAACATAGTGACATAGATGATTTGCAGCAGATTTTTAACAGAGATGCATGTTCGAAAGAATGGACGCCACAGTAGCATCTTTACTTCGTACAATATCGTTAATATTAAATACAATGTTATTAGTTATCATGTTTTAGCTTGAAAGATTACTCTGACTGCGCGTAAATTTGTTATTTTCCAGGTTCCAATTAATATTGCTGTGTTCAATATCGAAACTTACTTCAACTATTTCTTCTCCTGAGTCGCTCAAATTTCTTCAAAATCAATACGAAGAGGAGATAAGATCGAAACGTCAGATCAACCCTCCCTTAATTCTTGTGTATCCATACGGATCAACATATAAGGTAAATCGAATTTTGAATAATTTGTAATAAAAATCTTAAATAAGTATTTCCTAGTCCAGACCAAAGAAGTTGCAGTTAAGATAGAACATTTCTGTGTATTCGCTATTTGCGTTCATTGGCAAAATAATAATAAAATTGAAAGTTATCAAAAAATAATAATCTGAATTGTACATAATCAATGATTTTTAGTATACTACCGGACATATATATCGGCCCACTTAGCGTTATAAGTTCCTACGGTCTGTAGCAAAAATATATGTTTATGATTAAGCAATAAATCAGCTTCAAAACTGCGTAGGTAATAAATTTTTGCTCAATGTAACATTGTTTTACCTAGGAACCGTCAAAACTAACAATGATAGGTGGGTCAGTAGGTGTGTCCGGATGTGTATATACTATAGTAATTCATTTAAAAAACTAACTTAACACAAAGTCATTGTTATTTCTTTCAAACGTTCAAACGAGTTTTATATTTTTTACATCTTATCAGATAGTCGAAGAGCATAATCGCTTATACACCTCATCGGTGCTGCTTAAAAATTATCTTAATTTCACTTTTATTTAATGATAATTTTTAAGCAGTATCAAAGTGGCATATAAGCAATTTTGCATTTCCACTGCCGATATGTAATCGTTTTTCAGCTCCTCATTGGCTTTACTACTCCCGTTCCAAACAAGGACCACATTAACTTCGCGTTCGCTGCGAACTTTCAATATCAGTACATCCAATTCCAAAACATTTCAAATCTATCTCAGTATTATTCTATCAAGACAGTCAGTCGTGAGCAGAGGGAAGCGGATCTTCTGGCGAGAAGGGATGAACGCCCGATCTTTTACAAATCGGTTACTGATATGCTAAATTCGTAAGTTCTCCGCCTTGTTATTCAACACTTTTAAAATAATAATATTAATATTCCACGGGGCTGGGATTGGGTCAGGGTAGGCAGCGGGACGAGTGATATTTTCAGTATCGCAAGCGAGGCTTATTTGTTAAACTTTTAGCATAAAAAGCACTTACGATATTACCCGTTTGAGACTTTCTGGACCGTTTACAGACATTTTGACCAGAACTACGTCTACCTTAATCTTTAAGTTAAGTTTCAGAAAATCGGGTTGATTACCTCAAATTTTGACTAATACAACCAGAAACAGACTCGTGTAAGCAAAGGATTCGAAGAGTTATGAATAATAATGATAAAATATTAGCAGTATAAACCGTGCTGCTTAATTTGTTTTAGGGTATCGATGAAGAAAACCTAAAGGCCGCAAAACTAACCTAAACTAACAATTTTCCGTGATCAAATGTATCCTAGGTCTCAATCCAGTTCATCACACTAATATTATAAAGGCGAAAGTTTGTGAGTGTGTATGTTTGATACTTCTTCACGTCTAAACGGCTGCAATTTAAATAAAATTTGGTATAGAGTTAGCTGACACCATGGATTTAACACACATAGGCTGTATTTTACTGCGCGAAAATATCCCTAATAAACCGCGAGTAACACCGCGGGGCACAACTAGTAAACTATCTGTGTGCCAAATTTCATCCTAGTCCGTTCAGCCGTTTATCCTTGATCGACTAACAAACTCACAAACTTTCACATTTTTAATATTAATAGAACATTCTGACATCTTATTTGATATGTTTCTTCTTACCAAATACAAAAGGCCCTTTTACATTTTGAGAATGCCAATGTAGGTACATAATTTTTGTTGTAGCCAAAGATATATAATGTAGCAAATACATTTTCTATAAATGAACCATGTTTTGGAATTCTAGCAAAGGTTTCAATGGGCTCGAATGTGTCCAGAGGGCTATATGTGAAGCAGCGCAGTACACTATAGAAGAAGAAGGTTTAATAGGCGAGATCCTGCACATCCTATTAACGTGAGTATTATTATAATATCACCTACTGTTTTTATAAAATCATAGGTTTCTGGGTTTGGGTTGAAGGTAAAAATAACCCGAGATACAGGAATTGTCTTAGTTCAGAGGCTAAAGAGCGAATTTTGATAACTCCACAATCGTATCATCACTATCAAATTTTGTTTTTAAAAAGCTAGTTTGTTGTCTTGTCCGATAGGTGCCCCGATAGGGGCGATGAAAACATAGAAACTTTGATGATGCGATATCATATTTACTATTTCGCATGAGGCAATAAAATTATTATTCATTATAAAGCTTGTTCCAGAAGTTAAATAAATAAATATAAGTTAGACTTGAGGAGCTCTTTGGCGCGTTCGATTGCGATCGTTGAAGTTAAGCAACTTTCGCAGTGAAATGAAATGAAATGAAATGTCATTTATTCAGTCTAGGCTGTTACAAGCACTTGTGAAGGTCAAGAAGCTACGCCATCGGTTCGCAAAACTACGGCGGGAGACCTTGAACTGAGAAGAACCGGCAAGAAACTCAGCAAGGGCTGTTTTTTTCTCCCTGTATTGTTTCGCCGCTGTGTATACAGTGTCGTCAAGTTGAAAAATTACTTCAGAAATACGTCTGAAGTCACATCCCATTACATCATCTAGAATATAAATATGTAGTTACAATTAATTTTATAGTTAACATTTTAAGTAGTATATAGGAAGCGGCATTAGATTGGTACAATATTACTGTTATGAAAAATGAGTAATACCCATTTAATATCAAATTATAAGAAACACTATGTCCATGCATTACGATCATTTAGATAATCATCAACTTTATAATAGCCCTTATTCATAAGAGTATTTTTGATCTGAGATTTAAATTTAGTCAGTGGAAGCTCAATCAGATCTTGGGGAACTTTGTTAAACAATGCAATACTACAACCCAGAAATGAACCTCTTGATTTTTGGAGTCTGAAACATGGAACGGCAAGCTTGTTCTTAAATCTCGTGTTAAAGTTATGGGTTTGACTTTTTTTTGCAAATTCATCATAGTTTTTTCTTACATATATTAAATTTTCATAAATGTATTGCGACGCCAGTGTTAAAATATTAATTTCTTTAAATTTTTCTCGAAGGGATTCTCTTGCCTTTAAATTGTATATGGCGCGAACAGCTCTCTTTTGCAGTATGAAAATACTTTCGATATTAGCGGCTGAGCCCCACAACAAAAGGCCATATGACATAACACTATGAAAGTAACCAAAGTAAACTAATCTTGCCGTTTCCACATCAGTTAAGAGTCTTATTTTTTTAACAGCAAAAGCTGCAGAGCTCAATCTACTTGACAAGGCATCAATATGAGGATCCCATTGCAGACGAGAGTCTAAAGTAATACCCAGAAACTTTGTAGAATCCACTAACTCTACAGGCTGGTCATTTATTTTTATACTAGTATTAACCTGCCTCACATTAGGTAGAGTAAACTTAACGCATTTTGTTTTACTGGAGTTAAGTTTTAAATTATTTACCGTAAACCAGTGAAGGACTTCAGAGAGAGCACAATTTACTTCGTCATAACAATCATTACCTCTTCTAGCTTTAAACAATAAAGAGGTGTCATCAGCAAATAGTACTGTCTCACACAAATCTCTTGTAAAGTGAAGAAGGTCATTGATATAAATAAGGAAAAGCAATGGGCCCAATATTGAACCCTGGGGCACGCCCATAGAAATGGGTGCTCCTGTAGACTCAGCTTCATGTATAACTACTTTCTGAATCCTAGCAGAAAGATAAGACTGTATCAGACTTAGTGAAATATTTGATACACCATAATGCTTCATTTTATTTAACAATGTTTCATGGCTAACGCAGTCCAACGCCTTTGATAAGTCGCAAAAAATGCCAATAGCATCGTGCTTACTCTCCCATATATCAAAGATGTGTTTGAGAAGTGCAGTTCCAGCATCAGTAGTACTTTTGCCTCTAGTGAAACCAAACTGTTTTAAATGAAATAGCTTATTTATAGAAAAGTGTGCTAGTAATTGGTTATAAATTATTTTCTCAAATACTTTACTTAGCGCTGGTAATACAGATATAGGCCTAAAATTGCTGGGATCTGATTTGTCACCAGCCTTAAAGAGAGGGATAACTTTAGCACATTTCATTAGATCTGGAAACACTCCGTCATCAATACATTTGTTAAATATAATGGCCAGTTGTGGCGCAATAACAGTGATAATCGGTTTAATTATATATGTTGATATTCCCCAATAATCCTCTGTCTTTTTAATTTTAATTGAGTTAAAAGTTTTTATAATACAGTCGCTACTGATATGTCTTAAATGAAAATCATTACTGCACTTATCAACACTTGACTCAAGGAGGGTCATTGCTAACCTAGAACAAGAATTAAGATTTCTAGTTGTTTCAAATGGTGCACTAGAAAAGAAATTTTCAAAAGTGTTTGGAACGGCATTATCTGTCCTAATTATCTTATTGTCTATTTTTAAAGAATATGTGTGTTCATTAAATTTATTTCTTCCAGTTTCATTATTAATTATATTCCAAGTTGTCTTTATTTTATTATCGGAAAGACTAATTTTTTTTGATAAAAACTTAGCTTTTGCTATGGCACACACCTTTTTAAAAGTTTTTGAATAGTTTTTGACATATTCTATAAACTTAGGATCAGATGAGGTTGCCTTGAGAGCATATAATTGATACAACTTATTTCTACTTTTGTAAATACCCGGTGTGGCCCAATCACTAAATTTCTTTTTAAAGCTATGGCATTTAATAACTTTGCGTTTGAATATTATATTAAATTCATCTTTAATTAAATTGAATAAATCTTCATACAAAATATTATTATTACTACAAACTGGTAAGTACGATATTTTGTGATAAACGCTATCTTGAAATTTATTTATACCTGTTTGTGTAATTGGTCTACAACTTAGGTCATGTTTGGGTGAAGCATGATGGTGTTCAATAGAGGCTAATTGTCCGCTATCACCAGAATTAATACAATTTATTAAAAACATTTCTATTACAAAAAATATTATCTAAACAGGTCGCTGATGCATGTGTGATGCGAGTAGGCTCAAAGAAGGTATGCTCCAAGTTATATGATTTAAATAAGTTTAGAAACCTACTCACTAATGGACACTTAACTAAAATGTTTATATTAAAATCACCACACACAACAACCACTTTATTACATCTACATACTATATTGAAAGCATCTTCCATAGCGGACTCAAATTGAGTGTAATTCCCAGATGGGGGCCGATATACACATATTATGATCATTTCTTCAAGTTCCACACAAGATATTTCTATATTACGTTCAACTGAAAGTGTAACAATATCTGTACGTTCTTTGTATTTAAGATTGTTCTGTAAGATTATGAGAGAGCCTCCCCTGATAGCCGATTTCCTACAAAAACTACTAACAACTGTATAATTATCTAAGCCTGTAACTAATTCATAATCTCTGAACCAGTGCTCTGTAATACATAAAATGTTTATATTCATTGTATTTAAAAATAAGCATAGTTCTAAGTCTTTACCAAAAAAGCCTTGTATATTTTGGTGAACAATATTTAGAAATTTAGACTTTTCCTTGGTCATGATATAGCTAGAGAGTGACTTTTCCTTGGTCATGATATAGCTAGAGTGGTCGGTCATTGGATGGGTGACCAAAAATCTTCTATCTCGAGTTCCTCCGTGCTTCGGAAGGCACGTTAAGCCGTTGGTCCCGGCTGCATCTGCAGTCGTTAGCACCCGCCAATCCGCACTGGGCACGCGTGGTGGGTCATGACCCAATCTCCCTATTCCATCCATAGGAAAGGCCTGTGCCCCAGCAGTGGGGACATTAATAGGCTGATGATGAAGTTAGATTTATTATATAAATTACATCAGGGTCAATGACCTTCTAATCAGACTGCTAGATAGGTTAAGTAGAGCATAGCGGATTTTCCGCTTGAATTGAAGCGCCCGTCTGGGGTAGTAACCTCCACCTTACAGAAGATCCAAGTATAATAACACTACCTTTTGGTGGTATCGGGTTTCTGTTGGTGACTAATGTTCTATGGCTGGAGGCTTATTATGATCTCTTATTGCAGAACTATATAATTATGTTCTTAAAAGAACTGATTTCGAATTCGATTCAGCCGAAGTCTAGGTACAATATTTCAACTAAAAGGTAGTATCCGATTTGTGGCGCCACATTCCTTGTTAAATTAAAATGTTGTTGGAAACTAACCCATATTATAAGGCGTTAGCAGCTGCTACTCATATTAGACAGATTATAGCAATCGGGTTGATCATTCATTCTATTGCGACTACGACGTTACAAACTCCTCAAGCTAATTTGAATCGGAAACAAAAAATAGATAGTTCAGAAGGTAATCTCAAGTACTAATTTAAATTTTCATACCTACGCTTGTCAGTTGCATTAGAATTTTAAACTTTGGGTTGTGCACAAAAAAATCGTAGTAGTGGCACTCGTACGTATCTAGTTGTTTGATTAATTGTTGTTAAATAATCAGGAAGAATGGAAACATCAAACAATAATAAAACTAAAGTATGTCTTTCAATTATAATGTTATTGTTATATTAAACCCTAATAAAAAAAGATTAAATTTGTGTTGGGACTCATAGAGGATGAGGAGGAGGAAAGTTTCCGAACAAGTGCCAAGGCAGACTTCGCCTACCTGCCGCCTCTCACCGCGCGATATATCGTCTACCCCCCTTCATGCGGCTGTAACGCTTTTTCGTGACAGCATAATCCTAACGACGACCTCCTTGGCCGAGTAGTTTGTACACCGGGTTTCATGGTGTCGCCGACTCTAGAGGTCCCGGGTTCGAATCCCGGTGGGGCCAGATGTTTGTGTGATGAATACGAGCATTTGTACTCCAGTCATGGATGTTTAATATGTATTTCTATATAAATATACTTATATATGCACAGTATATGTATTCTATCCGTTACCCTAGTATCCCATAACACAAGTCTTATAGTGCTTAGCTTGGGACTAGGCTAATTAGTGTGTGTTGAAAAAAAAATACTCCCGTCTATATAGAAGTTTCACTTCAAAAGAAAAAAGATAATTAACCGTTTAATGTTGAATTCAAACACTTCCCAAATTTATTATTTTTTATTATTACTTCCACTCTTACACTCCTCTGAAACGGCTTGACCGATTTTTATGAAATTTTATAAGCATATTCAGTAGGTCTGAGAATTGGCTACTATCTCTTTTTCATACCCCTAAGTGATAAGGGTTGCCCACCCCTAACATTTTTTTTAATATTTTGGACACATATTTTTTTAACCCTAAATTTTTACCCGTCTACCGCCAACCCCTAATTTTATGGCGGTACGAATTTCGCTGGGTCAGCTAATAGTATATATAAAGAAAAAACTGAAAGCGAAACACGCTGGTTCTATACCAGCTTGGTACCTAGGCAAATGAAATATTAAAATTTCAAGAATTTTCAAGAAAGAATCAAATTTAAAAATTAAAATGAACATGAAATTTAATTTTTAATTTGACAGATTTGTATGAGATTGTGTGAAATTCCTACTTGGATCAAATATCATTAATATAAAATCCACGAAGAATTCTATTATGCAACTTATTCTAAATATTTCATACAAATTAAGCTTTTTTAAACATTAATTAAATGTAATGCTTTGTTAAATCAAGTGATGATTTATTTTGTTTTTATTGCAAAGAATTCAGATTCAGAATTCAGATATTTTTTTATTTGTTATACGTAAGTTAGTGTTTATATGGTAGGATTCTAGAATTTTTGTTAGTATCACTACACTTCCACCTTAAATAAGGTATACAAATAGATATTATGGTTCTATGAAACAGGTACTATTATTTTGGTTACATTGAAATTACAATTTATGAATATAATTTTATATAGTCTATTGTTACATGCATGTCAAAGTAGATTATAAATCCATTATAAATTTGATAAGCTATAAAGTTGTCATACTAATACTCAAAATTTTAATGGAACAATAAGTAAAATATCCAAAATAGCAACAAATTGTCCAGAATTATCTTAAAGCTATTAAGAAGTAGATTAACAGCTTTAAGCGCGGCCGCGTACGTTATGCTACTTGCTTTATACAAAGATAATATGTTCAGTCGTTCTTCGCGGTATTGTAATTAAGATACATGAATAGGTACACAGTGAATAGAGTCACGCATACATCAAGAAGGGTGTACACATAATTACATCTAAGATCCGTTTAATTGCTTGTCAACCATTGTAATCAGGCTTTATTATGATCTCAACTCTTCGTAAAACATCTTAGTATTTTATATGATTGCCTGAACACGATTTATTTACTATCGAAACTATCTTTTGTTTATTTAGCCAGTTTGAATGTAATTGCTGATTATTATCTATATGTGCAGATGTAATTAAGGATGGGTGACCGACTCGATAAACTGTCCAATATTATCATCATTAGCCTGTTAATACCCCACTGCTGGGCTACAGTCATTGCCAATGGAGAGAAGTGGGTTCAGTTCAGATTGATGCGTGTTATCAGAAGCTGATGCAGTCATAAAAATGATGTACGCGATTTTCAAAGCACAGAAGAACTTGAGATGATAAATTAATATTGATCACCCATCCCATGACTGGTTATTATAAAAGTTGCTTTACTCGCTTAATTAAAACCGACAGCATTAACCACAGCGTCTTCGAACTCCTCCACGTGGGTTTTTACGAGACTGCCAAAAAGAGAGACGATATTTTTCAATGTTATCTGTTCTTGCATCTCGCATTCGGGCACTAAAACACCTGTATAGGAAAGCGTTCTTTATCTCCATAGCAATATGTTTAGTCATGAAAGCTTAGAGGATCGTGGAAGTTAAGCTACTTTCGTGACCAAAAACTCATGCTCCTTCGTGCTTCGGGAGGCACGTTAAGCCGTTGGTCCCGGCAGCATTTGCAGTCGTTAGCATCCACCAATACACACTGGGCCCGCGTGGTTGAGCATGGTCCGATCTCCCTATTCCATCCATAAGGAAAGCCCTGTACCCTAGCAGTAAGGATATAAAATGGTTGCTGATGATGATGAAAGCTCAATAGACAGACAAACAAATTTTACGACTATATATATAATAAAAGCTGGCCAAGTCTATTATTCGGTGTATTATATTAGATGCAACCTAGTCAGGCTTTAATTTTAGCACAGTAAATTATAAATAGTACTGATTATTAAACCTAAACATAGAGATATCTTTCTTTTAAGCCCTCAGCTTTGTATTGAATGTACTCGTAGAAACAGCCACAGGAAAAATTATAATAATAATAATAATTCCCATAATCACACCAATTAGCCTAGCTCCAAATTAAGTATTGTAAGGCTTGTGTTATGGGGTAGGGTAACGGATAGAAAACATAATTATATTTGATTCTTAAATAGGTAAGTATAATTATGAAGATATATTTAATAAAATCCATAACTAAGGTACAAATGCTCATTAAGGTACAATTCATCATATTAACATTTGCCCCCGCCGGGTTCGAACCCTCACGTGTAGGCGATACCTTAAAACCCAGCGTATATACCACTTGGCCACGGAGGTAGTCAAATAACTCAATACTATCAAATTTATCCAACTGGCATTGAACATTTTACAAATTTATTGAGAAAAATTTACGGATTGTGGTAACTAGATGTGTCACCGTCTAAACCCACGTGAATTATATGTCAATTATTCTTAATTTCGATATTTCCAGTCCAGACTACGGGCGGTCGCCGTTCGAGGAAAAGGATCCGTATTGGGACGACATGATGGCTCCATACAAGGACGCGGCGACTGTAGGCCGGCAAATGTTTAGCTGCGCGTACGTCTACAGCGGCTGTCCGGAAGGTCAAGGGATAATGGAACTTATATCTATATTGAGAGATGAGTAAATTAAACAAATCGTGGACCAATAAATTATACAAGGACTGTACTTGATTTTGAGGATAGAATTATTTTGAAACTGCCTGCGCGTGAGACAGAGTGGGAACGATGTATAAAGTATCCATACTTCGTTCTTATCCATTTTGGTATTTTATAGGAATATTGGAACTTATGTTACTAAGAGACAAGTAAATGAAATAAATTGTGCATCATTAAATGATTGTGGGACTGAACTTGTGATTTTGTGGATAGATTCATTTTAAACTTGCCTTTGCATGTGACAGAGTAGGATCTAAGTAAAAAGTTTCAATATAATTTATCCTCATCCATTTTGATATTTCATAGGGATATTTGTGAGATGAGTAAATTAAACAGATCGTGCATCCAAAGAAACGCTTAGATTTTAACAAAGCTCCTAACTTGACTTCAAACTGTCGAAAGGGTAATGAAATATTAGAGCGGCTCGTTATTCCGTTACGAGCAAATGCTCTAGTCTACTCGCATCAGAGAACTCTAGCCTACAGTGGGAACTGTGTCGATTCTATAAGGGAAGCCAGCGTAATAAAGTAAATGAGGAAAACATAAATAAAGCTCTCAGAATTGACGTCAAACTGTCGAAAGTGTAATGAAATATTAGAGCGGCTCGTTATTCCGTTACGAGCAAATGCTCTAGTCTACTCGCATCAGAGAACTCTAGCCTACAGTGTGAACTGTGTCGATACTATAAGGGAAGCCAGCGTAAAAAAGTAAATGAGGAAAACATAAATAAAGCTCTCAAACTTGACGTCAAACTGTCGAAAGTGTAATGAAATATTAGAGCGGCTCGTTATTCCGTTACGAGCAAATGCTCTAGTCTACGCGCATCAGAGAACTCTAGCCTACAGTGTGAACTGTGTCGATTCTATAAGGGAAGCCAGCGTAATAAAGTAAATGAGGAAAACATAAATAAAGCTCTCAAACTTGACGTCAAACTGTCGAAAGGGTAATGAAATATTAGAGCGGCTCGTTATTCCGTTACGAGCAAATGCTCTAGTCTATTCGCATCAGAGAACTCTAGCCTACAGTGTGAACTGTGTCGATTCTATAAGGGAAGCCAGCGTAATAAAGTAAATGAGGAAAACATAAATAAAGCTCTCAAACTTGACGTCAAACTGTCGAAAGGGTAATGAAATATTAGAGCGGCTCGTTATTTCGTTACGAGCAAATGCTCTAGTCTACTCGCATCAGAGAACTCTAGCCTACAGTGTGAACTGTGTCGATACTATAAGGGAAGCCAGCGTAATAAAGTAAACGAGGAAAACATAAATAAAGCTCTCAGTGACGATGAAAGGCAACTAAAGTGTCCCCACAATGGCGGCGTGTTTGTGTGGCCTGCAGCACGTCGGCAACAAATTAAGTACCTAAATCTCATATAGGTGCCTGTCACGTGCCAACGATCTTTCCCAGAGGGAGAACTTTATACCCCACGACTTGGATACGACTTTACCAATAAGAACAACATGCATTGTACTTTACCGTCACCATTCAGTGATAGCAATTAAATTCTCAAATTATTTGATGTCACAGAAAATATTAGGTTTAGTAAATCCTCGTCCTGAATACATTATAAGTAAAAATCGGCCAAGTGTGTATCGTTCCACGCGCAGTGTAGGGTTCCGTAGTTGCCTATCGTTATCACAATGCATTTAAACAGAAGTCTTTATTTTCTGTATCGAAAATAAAAAAAAGCAATCAATATCTGAACTAAATTACCTGAATCAAAGTGAATTCGCCTCAAAAACAAAATCAATTCGTTTTAATTTTTTTAAATACGAATGCTACGGAATAAAAGAGCTTTATAAAAACGTAACGATAGCAAGATTTAGAAACCGTTGCTGTTGGTACTCGCGGTATGTTTGTGGAATTAATGATATTTAATTGTGGTTTTTAAATAGTTTTTAATGCAAGAGTTTACGCTAAAATAACTTCATCCATGTCACCATTAAAAAAAATCTGAGGCATTTCCAATAATCAATCAAAGGACATCGACGAAATCGGCCCTAGCATGCCCAAAAGAATGTCCTTCACTATTATTTTTCTATTATTTTTTTAACTTATTAGCAATTAATCAAAGTAAACGGACAATCTGTTTAAAAAAATAAAAGTTCTGTTACTAGATACTACAGTCTGTTCATTCAACTTGGCACTCCTTTTTATTGAAAATACAGCATTAAAAATCAACTGATAACTGGATTCAATAGGTTTCAGTCTATATTAACGATTTATTTTAATAGTTTATTGGCTTCGTTAATATTTTATTATTAAATGGGTGATTCTGTTAAAAAGTTGTGCCAAGATTGTTTACCTTAGTAATGCAATATAGGCGACCATTGGTATTTATCAACATAAAAATAGAACTAGGTACCTTAGTTAATAACACTTATTACTAGAATTTATATTATATTTGTAAAAAGATTATTTCTGAAATTATCTAAAGATAGTTTATACTCCCATCCTATGTAATATCTGTTTATTTTTATGAAAATCATAATGATAACCAGGTACATACCTAATTACCGATAGTAAAATATAGAAACAGGTAAATGGAAAGATTGAACATTTCATTTGAAAAGAAATCTATCATTACCTACTACAGGTAGGTATAGGTATCATAGGTGCCAACTGACAACACTCATAAATCAATATGAATATAAGCATTTATTATTTTTTTATTAATTGCATTTTATGTTCATTTAATGCATATTATTTAAACACTAAATCTATTCAGAATATATAAAGAGTACATCTTTTACGATTAAGTATAATAATTATAACCTCAAAATCGAATATATTCTGTAGTAGGCCACGGTTCCTCAAGTTGTCCGTATCTCAACAAATGCTTATTTAGAGTTTATGAATAATTCCGAACACAACTAGCATTTTCTCATTGCTGGGCGTTCTAGGGCATTCAATGTATGGGAAACGAGCAATGTCCTTTTTATTCTTTATCATTTTGTCGGCGTGATTGATATATATATTAAAAAAAACATTTCAATAATTAGCTCTCTAGTGCAAACAATCTCCAAGCAAAACCGGGGACGGACAGACGGACATGACGAAACTATAAGGGTTCTTTGTCAGGACTACGGAAACTTAAAAGTGATGTGAAATGGATCAAGGCAAACATTTCTTTAAGAGTAGCCTCGCGAGGCAATCTCCAGTCGATTAGGACGTGCCTCGCCCTGCTTTGCCCGAGCCGAACGTTGTTTTTTGTCGATGCTTAAAAATGCTTCACTACGATTGCCACGCGCACTCAAGATGGTTGTATTTTGCCTCGCTTGTTCGACGAACGACGGATTCGCGTGATCTGTTTTCGTTTATCCTTTTCATCAAAATACTTTATTTCTGTGTTTTTGTTTTTGTCGAAGTCGTAAACATAATATATAGGCAGCGGTGGCGATAGCTCTCCGAACGAACGCTTATGGTGGTCGCGAGCTAAGTTGTTTAGAAGCACGCGCAGTCTTTCGATCCTGCCTCAGCCTCAACGTGGATCAGCCGAAGCGCGCGTGACAGCCCGATGCAATAAATTTGTGACCCAGCGACCTCGTGCGGCAAACGTCCGTGATTGCCGCACAAGACTACTCCCTCAGTCAGGTCACTGCTAATCAAAATAGCAACTCAAGGAAAGTTAAACTAAGTTAAATACTAGGATAACAAACGAAGCTTATTAAAGTTCTACGTAAGACTAGTCTACTAAATCTATTTAAAAAGAAAACTGGCGACATCAAACGTTTCCATTCCGACTGTGTTACGACTAAGCTCCGTCTCGTATAAACGCTGATGGAATATTTACATTGACTTGGAATGCAGTAACTACGGCTTCAGAAGCGCTGGACTCCACCACCTAGTGCTGCTTAGAATGCATGCACAGTAAGGACTGCAAGCGTTCATTAAGCCATCCCAACCTCAAATAGATTAGCTTTTCATCGAAAACTCCGAAAGGAGCGATCTTTACTTTTTAATATTCGACGCAAAAATAGTGTTTGTTTATATTAAAAGGGTGGCAAACAAGCGTATAGCCCGCCTGATGGTAAGCGGTCACCATAAATGCTTGCGATATCCAAAATATTCCTCGCGTCGTTGCCTACCCTTTTTTTTGTATCTGGGAAACGCCTTAGTGTCGCCGCACACGGGCCACCGACTACAACCACAAAACGCCGCCACTGGCATATTTCTTGTAGTTTTCATACATTTTATATGGACTCGCCACACACGGTACGCCGGTGGCCGTCACACGCTACAAATCGTCGTAGCTCGCTTCTTGTGGCGCGCACCGGCCACTTAATGCGCCGATACAAAACGCCGCCACACGTCACTCGCGCAATTCCTCACCCTCTCTCCCTTACCTTAGTCGGTCGCTGTCGTGTGCTTCAGCCACTTTAGAACCCGCTTCTAGCTTCTCGTGGCGGCGTTTGTGGCTGTGGTATGTGGCACACTTACGCATCCTTCAACCACTGGAGAAACGAGAAAAAGGTTTAAGGGACTCCACCCTGTTCATTTCAGTCAGCCCTGTGGCCAGGTGAAATAAACAGGGCCCTACCTAACAACCAGACAATACTCCTGCAACGTCACCCGACACGCACTATGAGGACCGCGATCCCCCTAGTGCGTGCCGTGTGGTCGCGGCAACCGTTGCCGACTCTCCGCGCATCAACACGTTTGCCTGCATAACTCCTTGAATAAATGACAATCTCCGTGGCCGAGTTTGTACGCCGGGTTTCATGGTGTCGCCGACTCGAGAGGTCCCGGGTTCGAATCCTGGGGGGGAGCATTTGTACTCCAGTCATGGATGTTTAATATGTATTTCTATATGTATATATATATGAAACTATACTTATATATGTACAGTATATGTATTCTATCCGTTACCCTAGTATCCCATAACACAAGCCTTACAATGCTTACTTTGGGGCTAGGCTAATTGGTATGAGTGTTGGAAATATTTATTTATTTATTTATTTATAAATATAAGAAAAAAAACTTACCAGCGGTTGATCATTAGGTGATCAAAAACACAATGCAAGGGGCCATACATGCCAAAGATTCTTATTTAAAATTAAGGCTTAATTCTGTTTAACGCAGCACTCTATCTTTGTCAATTGTTCAAACTTAAATAGAGGTAGAATGAGCCCTAAACATCATAAGGTAAATTTTTTTTAATAACCTACATAATTATACCAAAAGTCCCCACCTTTTTACCATGATCGATATACCAGCCACTCGTCATAGAAATACTTTAAATAAGTTATTTCAAAAAACGTAAGGCACACCAGTCTTTAAGAGAATTCAGCTGTAAGTAACGGTCAAAGGGACTGCCTTTTTGCAGAATTCCTTAATAAAATATAGC